CACCATCACATTTTCTTGTAAAGAACATACTCTTAAATTATGATTGAATATATTTTGCATTCAATATATAATATCAATTAGTTTACTTTTATAAATTGTAAATTCAGTTTGAGTAGAAAATTTTTAGTAAATAAGGGTTACTTTTGAGATTCTTCCATAAATTTATCTGAAAGCCTGTTAAAATTGTCACTGCTCTCATTGAAGACCATATATTTAATAGCAGATGACAAAAAACTTATTTAGGAATATAGAGTTACAATGAGCATCTGGTGGATATAGAAGCTAAAATCGAGTGTTAATGATCGACCATAATGGCTTTGTATACTTTGATTAATTAAAATTATACCTAGTTGAGGAAATGAGGCATACTATACAAAGATTAAATAATTAACTCGAGAATTAAGGAGCATAAAATTGCCTAGCTTGCCTTTGTTACGTCAAAGAGCGAGTTATGTGTGCTAAACTTTCGAGAAATATTAGTTTTCAATCCAGTTAAATCTGCTTTTGTCACAAATGGCATGCGCTGCCCCATACCAGACAATCTTCTTTGTTCCTCTAAAGCAGAATCTCGCTGGACAGAAAACTTTGTGAAATTTAAATTTGAGCTGTCTCCACTTGAGTGTGATGAGGAACTAGGGGCTGAACCCCGCGGCTCTACAATGGCATCAAGCGCTCGTAGATATACTGATTTCCACGAATTCACATTACTCCGAGGAGCCGAGCCAGGAGAAAGATATGGAATTTGGAAAGAATTAGGTTGAACAGTCTTGGATTTAGATACGGTAGAAGAGAACGCATTGATAGAGGGTGATTCTGAATTCAAGGCAGAATGTGTCTGAGTCATATCTGGGACCGGCAAAGCGTGGAGTGATCTAGAGCAGGAGATTGACCACTCGACTTTCTCGTTCGTCTCGAATTCCTTGGCAGGTAGGGCGGTTAGCTGAATAAACTAAAGTAAATCATGGGATAAAGACGAGAATGCAGAAAAAATTATGGAAATACTCAGCAGATAAAGACTATTAGAAGCGAAAATAGTGGATAGGCTAATGGTTGTCAACTGTGTTCCAGTTCACCTAAACTGTATGGTTCACCAAAGCAGCTCGATTTCTGCCTCGTTTAGAACTACCCAAAACTCTAGATAGGTGTCAGGACGGAGAGTTTCAGACTAAAAGTATTTAGCATAAGTGAAATATATGGCAGTGACTATCAATAGATGTAAATCAAGCGGTAAAGATGGATTAAATAAATTGCGTTTGCATTTTGTGCACAAAAGCGATTTAGCAAAAAAATCAGGCTCAGTTACATTTAGGCGGCCTCAAGAAAATGTGGTGCTGACTACGTAAGGCATCAAAAGAGATAAACAACTTACATATCCGTATAGTCATGCTTCTAGAATGAGGAACGTTAGTATTATTCTTGGTATGGCCTCATTTGCGAACTATTTATCCAATGAGACACAGCAGTCCTGTTCTGAGCATAATTCTCATAATGGAATATATTAGGATCAATATTTGATAAAAAAATAATTCGACAGAAATCTATATGGCTTTCTGGCCCAAAGTAAAAAGTATACCTATATTAGTAGAGTTCAAGAAAGAAATAATTTCGTTTCTAGTTATCCCCATAAACATATTTACCTTAAATGCCAGCCTAATAGCAATCACCCTCAGAGAAATTTAGTAGACATAGGCATTCTTTGAGACTAGAAATAACCGTCAGATGGCAGATGTAACTGGTGTTTATCAGATGCATGTTCACGAAGTATCAAAGAGCAAACTTGTATATCATAATTAGTCCCTCCAAAGTTTAAATCGTGTCAATTCCATATGTCCTTCCTGCTTTAATATTCCTTTGCAAAGTTATATTTTAAAAGCCGGATGATGATAAAATTAATGAAAGATAAATTAATTATTTCACATATCTCCAATAAATGCAACATTTATACAAAGAATGAATTTTTCTAAAACCTCTAGTGGGAGGACCAAAGTACAAGGCTGATAGAAAGAGTATCAATAAAATCATCCAATTTGTATCGGAGAAAAAATATTCTACAGTAAAACGATGATATTTTCAGCGTTTTGTTTATTATTTATACCCTTTCAGGTATTCGTTAAAATCATTATCCAAATTTATGCATTGAAAAGCATTTTTTAAGGCTCAACAACTTGGCAGGTCTGTGATTAGAAATTTTTTAATGGAATCAATGAACGAAGTTTCATTGCTAATACAGCTGTATCTTGGGTTCTGAGTTAGCAGGCAATAAGAAATTAAAATTAAGAAGGAAAGCTGCACACTGAGCGTTCAATAACTTCCTAAGTAAAAAATTTTTTCACGTCTTTTATTCATATTACATGTCTAAAAAATAGTCGAAGATCATTATGCTTTTAAATAGCCGCTTCTCCCAAATTTATGATACGAAGACTAAATATTGATGTTCACAAACTCGAGCGAAAAATGTTGTGCCTTTATTACGCACTGAATTAATATTTTCATATAATGATGGCAATAGTTGTGGGTCCTTAACATAAGTAGCCATTAGATTATCAAGCCTCGCACTATGGATAAGCGATACCAGACAGTGTGGTATGAAAATTAATCTAATTGCTTCTGAATACAAAAT